GGATTCGCATTTCGATTTATTTCGTGATTTTTCAATACCAGTAGTGCGTAGTGAATAGCAAAGCAATAATTTTGAAACCGAACGTCATTTAACCTCGGTAGTAAAACAATCAACATGTGTTTATAATGTTGAGCTTACACGAGGTTGGTAAAGATGTTTGTTCGGCTAACGTTTCGACATCTTCGTCTTCCTATATCAGAGCCGATGATCCTTGTCGATGGTCCACAGTTGTTCGTGTTCTCAAGGTGGCGTCTAGACTGTGGACAACTGTGGAACATCGGCTCGGATCATCGACTCTGATGAAGACGAAGCCGTCGGAACGTTAGCTAAATAAACATCTTTATCAACCCCGTGCGCGTGTGGTGGAGTGGTTGGGGGCGCCCTGCAACACACACGTGGAATCGACTCTGCACTCATGGCCCACCAAGCTTTCCATCCCTCCGGGGTTGGCAAATTGGTACCAGACTTGTCTAGGAGGACAGCAGCACTGACTCGATACATCGGTAGGCCACCGCGAGTCACTGTAAAGGCCAGTTATGCATTCAATCACCTCCAACGATACTTAATGAAGTCGAATGCATGGCGCATCCCTTGGAGTGGTTAACGCTGAGGGCGTTATCCCCTTTTTTATCCTTTTATCAACCCCATGTAGGCTCAGCAAAAAAACACTAGTAGTGCGGTTGTTGACAGAATAACTAAAAAGCATGCGCTTGACATAAATTCATGCAAAAATAAAAATGTAAATATGGGAACATGAGAATAATAAACAGATAAATGTGGGTAGAAATTTTATTTTCTAAAAAGGATTATAAGGCAGTTATAAAATGAAAAACTATTGACGAGGAAAAAATTCTAAGGATTTTCATAATGGAATATCAGAGACTTCATTTACGAAAACAAGTTGCCCAAGCATTACTTTTTATAAATTTCGAGAACATATGCTTAATTAAGTTTAATTAAACAAATTGTCAGCTCTTCTTTGGAGGAATGGCACTCATCACTGATTTCTTTATGAAACTGGATGAATATTGACGAGACCTATTTATTTCTTTGAATTTTTCCAACAATGAATCATTAATCGTCTTCAACGATGATGCTGAGATATTCCCAATACTCCGGATCCCAGGTGTCTGCGGTGGAGAACGAACGCGCTACTACCGTTCTCGAGGACTAACGCGTTCACCACCGCACCATGCGGGTTCTTCGTTTCGGCTTTCTCTCAGAAAGTTTTCTATCTGTCACTGCCATCAGCAATCACCTGTCAACGGGATTGATCTGGGAAGCCCAAATTGGCAGTGAACCCAGTTAAGCTGAAGCTGTAGTCAAGATCACAATTTTGTAGTGGTCCAGAGTTTTGCAAATATCTCAGCACCATTGTGGTTGTATTTTGCATAATACGCTGCTATGAAAAATTGTAAGAGGCAATAAAAAAATTAACGTTTTGAATCGTTTTCTATTCACATTTTTTGTTTCTGTACTCTTTTGTTAATTTTTATGCTTGAACGTGATGAACTCTTCATGTACTTTGTTTGTTCTTTTTTATTGTTTTTTCGCGATGAACTTTATGCACTTTGAATTCAGGCCTTATTGTAAAAGTGTAATTGAATTTCTATCAGGAAACGAGGATGAAGAAGTTGATTGAGTTTTGCACTTACAGGCTGGTTTAGTAGCAAACGTAACAACTACTATAATCTTTGGAAACTTTTTGTAATGGCCTTTCCTTTTTACTTACAGCAGTACCAAAACAAAAGGATGGGGAAGGAAGAAGAGAGGACGTTTCCAAAAAAGCGAAAAATCTCGTCAGCAAGAGTATTGTAAATCGTAGCTCTAATTTGAAAGTCGAAAATCGGCACCGAGTGTGCGATTCTCGGTATCATTCGACATAATGGAACACATAATAGTAGAGTCAGCGAAACCCATGAAACCAGATTTGTTCATGAACAAGCTGAGTGTAACATTTCGTGCTTTTTCGAGATCACTACCCGGTGGATTCGTGAATGCAAGAATTGGATACCATATCTGGTTGGATGGGTGCGTGTGCCGCGGTGTTTGGGGGCGCCTCTGCGACACACGTGGAATCGATCCCTGCGCCCTTGGCCCACCAAGCCTTCTATCCCTCCGGGGTCGGCAAATTGATACCAGACTTGCCTGGGAGGATAGCAGGACTGGATTGATACATCGGTAGGCCGCTGTGAGTCATTGTAAAGGCCAGATATGCATTCAATTACCTCCAACCATACTTATTGAAGTGCAATGCATGGCGCATCTCTCAGGGATTGATCAACACCGAGAGCTTTATCCTTTATTTTTATCAGGTTGGATGAACGACGAAGTAGAAAAATGAACCTAAATGACGGTTTGCGATATCCAGAGTAATCCTGTAGTCCATATAAAAATAGAACTCACTGAACACGGAAGAGATCATTCTAGACGACTTCGCCGATAGTATACGCTTGACTCGCTCTCCAGTCAACAAGAGCACATGTGAGAGATGAATTAAGAGCTTTAATGAAGTTATTTTTGTGGAACACGCGCTTACTACCAAACATTTTTGTTGATATAGGTCACTTACAAGAAAAATAACAAACGTACAGGGAATAGACGGCGTGCATACAGCACAGCGGTGAGTGGTGTGCGTAGCAAATGTCATGGTTGGCTCGATTCATTGCCTAAGCAAACCAAGTTGTCCATCTTTTTTGGGTTAGAAAATTGGTCCTAGACTTGCCTGAAATAAAAAAACACTGAATTGATGCATACGTGACTTCAAAAGCTATCGTACATGCTTAATATATATTCAATCACCTCTACGATGCTTCGAGTAGAGTCTAATGTGCGAAGCACCGCTTGGGGTCGAACGATCTCGAACGCTGTATCGTATTTAACGTTCATTTCATACGAAATAGACAAGAAAACTTTAGGAAGATGCGTCGTTCGAGCTCAAAAGCAGGAAACAGTTAAGTGGTTTTGGTGAATAGTGGAACTCTTTAATACCAGACCTCAACAAAAACCGATCGAGATAAGACACAGCCATTACGTATTTTTGCGACATCTTTTGAGATACTTACTTGATACTTGATACTTGAATGGCCCGTCCTCATTGGTTGTACAGGCCTCAGCATAATTTCCATTTTTTTCTGGAGTTTTGCTGGTTTAGCCATTGTGGTTCCCTGGAATTCCGAGGTCAGCCCGGCCAGAGTCTGCTCCAGGTCGTTACCACCACAGGCAGTCGCAGCCATTGTGGATCAGAGTGGGATTTACCACCATGCGACTTTGTTTACCAGGACGGTGGTAGATCGTAGTATTGATTTACTCCTAGCCAGGCTTCCTGATGGAGACGCAGGACTTTCTCCTTTTTGAGATTGTAATTGAATAAATAGTTGCTTAAAATTTTGACAACTACTGAAAGCTAGAATGCTTTTAAAACCGACCGTCATTTAACTTCGGCACTGTAATAATCAACAAGTATTTGTATTGTTAAGCTTACAAGCTACAAAATTACTATTGTTTTCCTATTCGCCAAGTACTAGCTAAAAAAATACCGACTGCTGAAGGGTGGATTATCGTTTGAAAAACAAACTATCATCAACTGATAATCATATCAACAACGACCGCCCTCCATAAAAGAGGGTGTTCGGCTCATTCGAGATGCTCAACTGAGGAAGATCCAATTCGATGCGAGACGAAGATGCCACATCGAGAAGAAGAATAACTGTGAACCATCGACAAGGATCGTCGGCTCTGATAAAGACGAAGACGTCCAAACGTTAGTCGAATATTCATCTCGTATCAACCTCGTGGAAGCTCAACAGTATAAACAAATAATGAATAAGAAGTTTATTGCAAGCATGATTGTCCTCCGAGACATGTGCGAACAAACATCCGACATTTTATCCTTATGAAAGACCTTTTAAGTAAGAAAGCTGCTAGCATCACGAACTTTGTTCATTATTCTCAATATAAGAATATCCATAAAAAATTGTTTTTTAGTAGCTTATATCTGTATATTTAAATAATATACAAAGCAGTTTTAAGTATTTTCTTCTTCAGGTTGAACTTATGCTGAAACAGAAGAAATTCAGAGAGTGGCACTGTCTCTCTCTACTGCGTCGGATTCGGACACACATAGCTTCCGTATGGACATGGATATTCACAAATGTGTAATGAAACTGTATCGAATAATTATTTCGGAAAAAATCCGAAAATGCATTGTGAGTGGGAAGGACATGAGAGATTGTTGGGAGTCGTGTAGAACTAACAATCTTCACGTCTACTGCAATTCATGTCGGCGTCGAGCCACCATTACTATCAACCTTCCTTCTTCCCCACCGCACGTATATACTGTTGAGTTACCTTCCTCTGTTATGTTTACACATACATATATCTACAATTTACTTTCTTTTGCTATATAGCGTAAAACTAAAAGGCGTAATCGATAACTACAATGAGCATAATTTCAGTTCCGGGAGCGTTCAACAGCAATAAATAAGACGAGCTCAATTAGACTGGGTGCTGCAATACATGTTTAATCGAAAAGCGTTTCTCTAACCAGAACGACTAGGATGAAGGAAAAATTTTCGTAGTTGATCAATCTCTGTGGATTGCGCCCTACCCTCGACTTGATTAAGCATCCTTTAAAGGTGACTGAATTCATATCTGGCCTTCACAATGACACGCAGTGGCCTACTCCATATATTGAGTCAGTACTGCTATGCTCCCAGACAGGTTTGGTACTAATTTCCTCATCTCTGAGGGACGGAGCGCTTGAAAATCCTGAAGTACTGGAACCGACTGCTTGAAACTGCAAAACACCTCTAACCATTTCGTTACACGTGTCGCTAAGAAGAACACTTATTGAGAAGAAATCATACTGAGAAAGAACATATCGTCTTTTCAGCAATGGGAAACCAATTTATCTTGGTGAATCAATCTCGTTTTTTTTTTTTCGAGATGAATATGCAAACGAAGTGATTGTGTTATTGAGGTGAGAAAAAGTCTGAGATCTAAGTACAAGTGGTCTCCTGCTCTTCCTCCACTTGGAAACCTTCCTTCATACCATTAGCAGTGTTGATCCAAACGGAAGAAGGATGAGGTCTAAAATGGTTAGATTATTGTAAAATATAAGCGGCATAATGTTAACTGCACTTACCTTAGGAACTTATCTGTTAAGGTTTCTGTACTGATAAAGCAAGTGGAAGAAATAGCGTGAGAATGGAACAACCATAGCGCAGTTCTTTTCAACCCATCAGAATTACATGGATCATTCCCATCCAAAACACAAAAGATGCAAAGGTGTTCTTGCAAACAAATAAAGGCGATTTCTATTGACATGCGTCACAGAAAAGTGTGCGACCCGGTAAACATCAAGATCAGCGATGCGTTCGAAATCAAACAATTGGTTTCTGGTTCCTGCAAGTCAACGAGAAGGTTAAAATCAAGAATTCAATTATTTTCTTAGAGTTTGACTGGGAGAAGGTCATGACGTACCCTGTATCAAATACCGCATGATCATACAAATTAATGGGTGGAAAATCCACACCGTTCAGTTCAGACTCTTCGCCAAATTTACTCCGCTCCAAATTTTCTGGAGGATTCAACCTTATTTTAGCCTCTGTAATTGTCATATAAGAGATAGAGGATCGAAATGTCGGTAGTTTACAAGCCACGAGTTTCTTTCCATCCCAGTGAATCGGACGGAAGGTTTCGTCGACTAGAAAGAGTCTAACCAGCAACCTCGTTTTGTAGCTAGTGCTACTGGGTTGCAGGCACTAAAACATTTATGGAATTTCCTAGCGTCTTTTTTAACGTATGTCCAGCAGTTTCAGCAAATAAATCCTATGGAACTGGTCCATGCGGTTTATCATGTTTTTTTTTAAAGTGACCTTCATGGTTTTATATTGTGCGAAGTTATGGGCTATTGTAATTTGAACAGTAATTAACTTAGTCAAAAATGAGTTCAAGAGGTGTAGGTTTATTTATTAATTTCAGATAGACCTGGTGAATGTTCTCCAACCACTTTGCAGTTTGTTTCTCCAAAATTTCTCTATGCATACGATAACTAAAAATGGTTTTCCTTAAATATTTACATTTACAGTGTTATCTGATCCGTAATATGATGACTCGCCAAGCATTACTGCCATAGCAACACGAAGAGAATTGTAATCGCAGGCAAGAAAGAGACAGTCTCCAATTACACGAGGACAACGATCCTCACGTTCTGTTTCGCCCAGACGCTCATCGCTCAACGGAACACTCAGATTAGTCACCTACTCTACCGCCTCCGAAGCCAACTTTGTTACGAACAACTCGTGTCGTCTTAAACTAGCCTAGCTACGCTCTTTTCTCTTGAGTAGCACTTTTTTGCTAGATTTACTGAAATTGTATATCATTAAGGCTTCGTATTCCTTTGTTATCAGTTTTTTATCAGCTGGTGGATCAGAAGCGATATCTATGCGAGAGGAAAGGTTTTTTTATAAACTAAGTAAAATGTGCAGCTATGGAGTCGCATGCTTTATTCTTAGTCTAAAAATCTAGGCATTTAGGAATATTTAGGTGCTTGAATGGAAAATAATATAAAATTAGTTCCAATAGCAAAGAAAATCCAGTAGATTGGGAAGGAAAGAGATTCGTAGACTCCGTAGCTTAGGGTGTAATGCGCCATCTCCCTGAAAGGGAAATCATCATTCAATCTGGCCCAAGGTCCAAGTTTTGCATCATCATCATCGCAGCATCATTATGGCTGTAATCCACATCATACCCTGCCGCGAGAAATTATAGTGCGCAGAAAATAGAAGATTAATATTGTGATTCATAGACTGTTCTACTCCCGGTATTCGTGTGAATATAGCCAATGTGTGGACAATGTCTGTGCTGATATTTCTCATATTTACTTGATAAGGTGACGTTTCCCATCATCGCGTGACAGAATGCCTTCTACTCTATTCAATCTCGTGTTTCCTTGAAACTATTTTAAGAAGTTGCTTCGAAACTTCAAGAACAACTTTAATCCTTATCAGCGATGCTATTGTACAACTCGTTCATATTTATCTTACATGTTATGTTTCCTGAAAAACAATGTGCACATAAGAAACTTTAATCTTAGCACGCCTTTTCTGTGCGTTCATCCATTTGTAATCGTACACGGGCTGTCTGGCGTTCTATGGTCACATCGTTGTCGATTGTACTGTGTTTGACGCTTTGTGCTTCTAGAAGATCGATCCTAGATGGTTTCCAGGAATTCGTCACAAACAATATCTACCGTCTCGCCAGATGGAGATTGTTGCCATCGTACTATCTTCCTGAGATATCTGCGCTAAACCATTTTCTGTACTTCGCCACATGATCACACAAAACTTTAGCGTTGCCTTTGAAACCCTTTCTTTATCTCAACTTGAATCTTTCCTATTTTCTAAACGTTCTAAAAATTCCACATAAGGAATAATTTGGCATGCATGACAATAAACCTCTTCTGTATTCCGGTGCTAAGATTCTAGATGCCTTCCATTAGTAATGAACCTACGAGCCGTTCTTGTTCGTATGAAGGAAGCAATAAAGAGACATCAACATCTTAAAGAATTGCGGTTATAATCAGTTTTGTGCAACTCTTTTTTCAGTTTTCTGCTCGTCATCATTTTTTCTCCGGAGAATGTTCTCATTTAAGACTCAATCTCAACGTTATGTTCAGTCTATTAGTGTAAACGCTACTGTATGGGACAACTTCCGACCAAAGAAATCTCAGGTAGCTGATGATCATGATGATCAATGATCTTAGCTTATGATGGGCGGTGAATCTAACGTCGATAATCGGCTTTGTGTTAGTTTTAGCTTTAATTCAAAAACAAATGGGAATGATAGACGTCATGAAAGTTCGACCTCTCCTACGGCTTTCATAAAAACACCGTTTCATGAGAAGCCTCACCGATATGTACACAGTTCGAGCGTCCTGCCTTCTGGATATATCAACACGAATCCTCGAGTGTTTAAAGCATGTGAAGTTTATGAAATGTCTAAACTTTAATAAGTCTAACACGGTATTCGAACTCTCACCCTAAAAATATTTGCCAGTTGAGCCAACTTCACAACGGAATATGTAATGCAAAGTGAATAGTGGTGTTTCAATGAATAACTGAACGAAGAAATGCATATTGATGACTTCTTTCTATATACGCGTTTTCTTCTACTACAAACATCTCAGTCCCTGAGATTGAAATACTTCCTATCGTATTGTACGGACGAGTTTCATCGAGCTATGGAATACGTCACCGGGCGAGTTTCATGCTAGATCTGCCAAAGGGCATGATATTGTTAGATAGTGACGGCAACTTATCGCTGACTAACGACGAACGGCATTTCCGTGTAACTTGAGGCATTCGGTGTCGGAATGCTAGGCATGTGGCGACGATAGCCGTGTCCGCCATGCCAGTCCGCTAAGCCGGCCGTTTTCCATGTCGGTCTCGTTGCCAGCACGAATGCGTCATAGTGATTCCAGAGCTCGTCAGCTTTTCATTAACGAACACTTTGCTGTGTTTCTTCGATGACTGCACCTATTGTCATTTCTTCGCACACCCACCAGTCTTCCTCAGAACAATTTCTTCTCACAACTTTGTTCCACCAAAACTCAGACAGGGTTTGTAAAGCCAGTCAAGCCATTCTTCTTCATAATTCTCACTTTTTCACACCCCTAGCGTCCACTTGTCAAATTTTCTAAGAGGTTTGTTTAGAAATTGCAGACTGTGGGACTTACAGTTTTTGTTTTATGGTACATTCTCTTCGCTGTTCTCTTTTTATTCATATTGGACCCTCTTCACAATGCTCTCCTCCAATACAAGTGGAAACACCCTAACTCGGCTATCTCCAACATTGCAAGCAAAAGCGACAGGACCAGCATTCCACGACATTCATAGAAAAAGAGAAATCCTCAAGCAGCGGCCGAAACAACACACGAAATGTTCGAAGATCATTGTGGACGATGAATGCGAGGAAGACGAATCGAATGTAAGAGGTGCTGGGATTCGCGCAGTAGATGCGATGGCATGTTATGGAAAATGTAAAGTATGAAAGAAATATGTGCTCCACTTAGGGATAACAATCAACAGTCATTTACGTTTTTGCCTTTGAGTTGAGCAACACTTTTTTTCTTTTTTGAACTATCGAAAATATTAGGATTTTTCCGCTCTTTTTTGGAGTTTTTTTTTAAACACCAAGCTTTCCAATATTGTAAATTTTTAACACCCATGTCAGCACAGTGGTTGCCGGTGCGATCCAGCGCCTTGGGCTAGCGAAGCCCTCCATTCGTTCGGCTTTCATAAATTAATAGTAGATTATTTGACTAAGATTATGGAAGCATTGGTTTGATACATTGCTAGTACGCCACAAATCGTTGCATAGGCCAAATATGCATTCAGTCATTTTTTCAAACGGGGTCGAGTGCAAGGTCCATCCCTCATGGATTGCTAAACCCTGGACCTTTACGCCCTCTTTGTTCTTCGGATATTGCTTGAGATCGGGCAATGTTTCGGATGAACAATACACAATCGTGGGTGAAAATCGAAGTTTATAGTTGAAAGAAATTGCTACACAAAGAGCCGAAGAACACTTTGTTTTCAAATCAAGCACACAAAGAAGTCAATTGTTACACTTGACGCACGAACTTCTTCTGCATTTTCTATAGAACGTTTTTCTGGAAAGAGATCGTGGTCCAATGTTGCACTTTGGAGTCTTTTAGAGAGGAGACATGTGCTTCACGTGTTCTTCAGGTTATTTTTTGATATTCTATGCCGACTCGTTGGGAACGAAAGCCTGGAAATAAACTCCGATGTTCTAGTCCTCTCGTCAACTGTGTGGGTGGCTCGTTTTCTCACTCGATCTAGCTCATTCGGACTCCTCCCAGCACTCGGATCGCACCGTGTTCACTGCCTACGGTGAGCGATGAACCCGATCAGATATCGAGTTCCTTGCGGCGAAGTATGACGAGGACTCCAGGATTTCGATTTCAGCGATCGTCTATTGTGATCGGTAGAGGATGGACACGGTTCTCCGTATGCGCCCCCGTCGTCCTTTAGACACCATCCGGAGCATTTTTGACGGATGGGATGTGCTAGACGTGAACACGAGACCGACTAATGCTGTTCAGATTCGCTAAGCGCTCACTCGTTTCACCCAAACCACAACTATCGATTGCTACCGAGCCATATGTTTCGATATTGATCGAAATCGCATGTTTCCATTCTATTACTTATCGAGATAACACGCAGTGTTATCTTGTGATGGAAATTCGCCATAAAACATATTTGTTGAATGTTCCGTCTTCCGGCTTCAATACCAGAAGCTATGGAATTAGATTGAAGTGCCGATATCAGTTTTTTCGTCTTGAGAACCTTATGGCAATATTTTTAAAGGATCTAATCTGTGTACTTGCAATATGTATTCCTTCTTTGATAAGCCTACACAAGGTTGGTAAATAATGTTTATTATCGGCTAACGTTTCGACCGTTTCGTCTTCATTAGAACCGATTATCCGAGTCGACGGTCCGCAGTTTTTCGCGTTTTCCCGCGACTTAGGCTTTGAATTCGATTAGTGATACCAAGGTTAAAGGAAAACCGGTTTCCAAGTATTGTATACTTA